GATATAGTCATTTTTAGTAACATTGCAGAATTAGAGAAATACATAAATTTTTTTAAAGAACATTATTATAGCCTACTAAATGACATTAAAGGAAGATATGTAGAAACTTATTACCATAAATTCCCTTCACCAATAAATGAACACCGTTCATGCAGACATCGAAGCTTGTGAACAATATTATGAATAGTTATTTAATTATTTTCTATAGTAAATTTTTTTATTGAAAAAGGAAAAGGGGTTTTATGATAAAAGAAACATAAATTCCCCTCACCAATAAATGAACACCGTTCATGCAGACATCGAAGCTTGTGAACAATATTATGAATAGTTATTTTCTATAGTAAATTTTTTTATTGGAAAAGGAAAAGGGGTTTTATGATAAAAGAAACATAAATTCCCCTCACCAATAAATGAACACCGTTCATGCAGACATCGAAGCTTGTGAACAATATTATGAATAGTTATTTTCTATATTAAATTTTTTTATTGGAAAAGGAAAAGGGGTTTTATGATAAAAGAACACCCAGATCTCTAAATATTAGAGAAGACTTGAAGAGAAAATTTTGTTATTCACCATTGTCTCTCTTCATTCAACTTATCTCTATATATAGAGGTTATAGATGTTTCTGGACTTTAATTATTACAAACTCTTCTTGGTTTTCCACCACGCTTTTGCTGCGCTTAGGAAACTCATATTGAGAAATTAATTTCTTACAAATTACTTTAATTCCGCGACTTTTTTGTCGCATTACTTTGTCTTGTATTCTTTTTTCGATGCAATAATCATTAATACATTTGTACATGTAGGCCACTCTATGTGGTAAATCGTCTGTTATATTTCTATTTTTAGTCATTATGTTAGTCAAATAATTTGGGTGACTTCTTCTAGGTTTTCCACCACGCTTGCTGCACTCAGGAAACTCGTATTGAGGAATTAATTTCTTTAATTTTGTGACTTGTTTGTCGCTTTACTCTGTCATGTATTATTCTCGATGCAATAATCATTAATACATTTGTACAAGTAGGTCAGTCTATGTGGTAAATCGTCTTTTATGTTTTTATTTTTAGTCATTATGTTAGTCAAACAATTTGGATATTCTAATAATAATTTTCAGGAAACTCGTGCTGAGGAATTAATTTCTTACAAATTTCTTTAATTTCACAACTTGTTTGTCACCTTATTTTGTCTTGTATTATTTTCTCGATGCAATAATCATTAATACATTTGTACACGTAGGGCACTCTATGTGGTAAATCGTCTTTTATCTTTCTATTTTTAGTCATTATGTTAGTCAAATAATTTGAATATTTTGATAATACTTTTTCATTTATTGGTGAGGGGAATTTATGGTAATAAGTTTCTTAATATCTTCCTTTAATGTCATTTGGTAGGTTATAATAATGTTCTTCAAAAAAAATGTGTATTTCTCTAATTCTGCAATGTTACTAAAAATGACTTTATCTAACATTCCTTTGTGTTTAGAAATTTTATTTTCATCATGTTCGTCTATTACTCCCATATAATGAATTAATAACATTTTTCCAAACTTTACTATTGCTTTTTAGCATTACTTCAGATTTTATTTCTTCTATGATATTTTTACATTCTATTGTTCCTTCAAAACCTTTTAACCATTGTGCTATATGTCCTCTTAATAAAGAACTTATGTAATTTATGGTTTCTATTGTATCCTATGAAAAGTTCTGAGCTATTCCACTTATAATTTGGGACCAATCCATTAAATATTTAATTCTAGATCTAAATTTAATAGATATGTAACTGAATCTGATCCTGGACTTGAAATTTCTTCTATAGTTATAGTTTCTTTATTTTTTATTTTTAATTTTGATGTCATAACATTGACATATTTTTGCTTGTTTGTTTTATTACAAAAATCATCCTAGTCTAAAGATTCTAAAGTTTCTATATTAGTGTCAGCCTGTGGTTGTGATTCTTGTTCGTTCATGATTTCTTCTCTATATTGAGAAGTTTCTCCTATTCCTGTTTGTTGACTTGTAGCTCATTGTGTTGTTTTTATTTCCTCTATAATAACATTATACATTTATTCTATAACATTTGAAAACGTTCTTTGGTCCTTTTCTTCTATAGTATGATCATCTAATATATTAACAATGTATTATTATGTTAACACATTACATGTTATATTATAATATAATCTAATATAATTGGAAGTTTCTTTTATTGTGCTAGTTAACCTCAAACCAAATCACATAAGACTTATCTATGAATACTACCTTTTAGAACCATGTTTTAAATATTAGGGTCATGACACACAAGACTCGCTAAAATTAAGATTTGAGTATGAGAAGTTGCTGCAATGTTCATAAAACTTGATAAGAAACTGAAAACTTCACATATTGTAGAAGCCATGTGACAAAATATATACATATATATTATTAATGGATCTGATCGTCTGAAAACTATTTGGTCGGGGCATTAACAGTCTCTTTACTTTCTTTACTTTCTTAGAAGAACCATATTAAATGAACCGTTGTCTAAGTTGGGTTAGGAACTGCTCTTCGGCAAGGCTTTTTCCTTGGTGCATGAGATTGCAACCAATAACTTGCAACAACAGTTTACGCAAGAAGGAGAGTACCATGTGGATTATGCGATCACCTATCTCATGTTATTTGGCAACTTTTTAATGGTTTTATAACATAACAAGAATCATATACATTTAAAAAAGTATCCACACATATTTGTGAATGGGTTAGAATAACTAGGTGGTGATTTCTCAGACTGTGATAACTCTTTAGCGAATAAGTAGTGATTTCTCAGACCGGGATTACTTTTTTTCTCTTTATTTTATCATTTCTTCTTCTTTTTATTTCATATTTTTTTCTTCCTATAAAAATTTGTCATTTGTCAACTTGATAAAGTTAATTAACAATTGATTTACTTGATGAATTCTAAACTCTCTAGTTATTAGTTAGTCTTATATTCAGGCTAGTCCTTTTTTGATAACTCTAAATAAATTTGTAAGAAATAATTTTTAAAAAAGTATACTTTATCCTAGCTCTAACTTACTACTTTATTAGAAATAATGAGATTTTTTCATGTTTAACTTAAGAGTGGATAACAAGTTCTCAAAGTCCTCCTGATCTACAATTTTTCTCAAGTATATATTCCTAATTCAAAAAAAAAAAAAATAGTGCGAAAAATGGGCACCAATAATTCTCTATATACGTGTGTATTTATATACATATACATACATGCATACATACAAGCATACATATATACACACAAAAACATATAGATATATATGTGTGTGTATATGTATAATATTAATTTATTTATCATATTTTAATAAATTATATTATTATAATTAATTGGATGATAATTATTTTAATAATAATTAATATAATATATTATAACATAATATTTATTATTAGATTAGCAATATTTTATTCAACATTATATTGTAGTTAGTGTAATTAATGATATAATATATTTATTCTAATATAACATGTTATATTTTATTATAATAATCTAATATCTTATAATAATTGGTTTTATTAATTTTATTTGTTATATAAGTTATTATATTTCAATAAAATTTGTAAAATAGAGAATAATATATATTAATAATTAATATAATGTATTAACATAATATATTATATTAAAATTCTTACTAGTAAATTAGTAATGTAATTATTTAATATTATATTTTAGTCAGTGTAATCAATAATATAATATGTTTATTGTAATATAATATGTTATAGTTTAAAATATTATTTTACATTAAATTAATCTAATATCATATAGGTTATATTAAATTTATTTACTATCTTTTAATAAATTATATTAGTATAATAAAATAGATGATAATATATTTTAATAATAATTAATATAGTAAATTTTGGAATAATATAATAAATTATATTATATTATATTTATTAATTGCAATATACCAATATTTTTTTAATATAATATTGTATTTTGTGTTAATAATAATATAATATAATATACATAATATACTATATTATATTGATAATATAATTAATATAATATATTATCAACATTCTTAATCTGTTATATACATTATTTTATATGATACATCACATAATAATATAAAATAATACTATAATATATGTATGTAAAATATCAAACTAGCTTTGGCAAAACGAACTCACGATGGTGTTTTGGAAACGTTTTCGGAGAAAAACACCATTTTGTTGCGAATTCAAGGAAAAACACCACAAAAGAGTCCCCGTAGTATCCAAACACACCCTAAGTTCTTGTCAATTGGGTTACTCGTTGAGATACATGATAGGTGCAATAAAACCTTCATTATGGTCCTTATGGAACATGAGATAATCAACGTGGAACAAGAAAATAGAGGAAAAAACGTAAAAAAGTAATGGAAAAACTTATGTGAACAGATACCTGAAACATAAATTGTCACGAAGCATAGAAAACAACAGAAGATTAAAAAAAACAAATTGAGAAATGAGATGAATCGTATGGATATGTTAGCTTAATCAAGTTTGGTTTAATATATCAAAGTAAGACATGTCACTTTTCTGTTTAAACGCCAAGGCTATATGTGTAATTTAACCGTTTATGTTCTTGGAATATAATATCAGTGTACAGAGAGGGATGTCTTTTTTTGGATGATTTATGGTGGATAGACCCCCTGTATTATCGTCAAATTGAACTTTCGACCCCTGTAGTTCTGTTGTGGCAAATAGACCCCCTGAATGAAATTTCTTTTGACCCTTTTCCGGGGGCTATCTGCAACAATAGAACTATGAGGGTAGTAAGTCCAATTTGGTGATAATACAGGGGATCTATCAACAATTAAGCCTATTTTAATTGCCCATTTTTTGTTTCTCTGTTATCCTTCTTTGTGGTAGTCATGGACGTAGTCAGAGCCACCATTTTCCAACTGCTGCAGACGTCACTGAAAACAATCGTCTCTGTTTGAGAATATACTTTATGCTGTTTCTTAAAGTCTGCTCTTTTATGTTTTTTATAGGAAGATGTAGAAGCAGCAAGGTCAGCAGCAATCAACCAGGAAATAAAGCGCGTCTTAACTGAAGTTCTTTTGAAGGTCCTAATTATTCACCTTCTCCTTTCTCATCTTGCTGTCCATTTAATACTGACATGCTATGATTGACAGGTAACAGATGAGCTTTTTGATGAGATTGCTACAAAAGTTCTCAATGAGGATGAGCAGACAAGCGGAGGTAAAAAAATATTTCTTATGAAGCAGTCGGCGACAGTGGAAAGTTTATTCTAGTTTTGAAAGTTTATATCTTGCATCGCTTATTGAATACCTTTTTACAGTAGTTGAAGAAACTGTTAATAATGGAAACCAGAGGGTGTCTCCTGTAGCAATTGTGACAAACAAGGCAGCTGCGAAAGTTCTAATTCCGCATAAACTGGAGAGCAACGAAGTTGAATGTGGTGATGAAAGTTCTGATACCTCTCCCAGAGGAAATGTTTTAGGTTTAGCTAATTATGCTTCAGATGATGATGATGATGAAACCCATAGCTCCAAGTTGCTTTCATCTGGAAAAAGTGAGATTCAAGAGGAAAGCAATGATATACCTTCCGACAATGATTCTAAGTCTGTAAAAGATGAAGCAGACGTTGAAGGGGTTGCAGAAAAACATGGGGTGAGGCAGAAGGAGGAAAACCGTATGATGGGGAATGGTTCACCATTGATTGATAATATACATTTTCCTGATAAAGCATCTGAAGGGGTTTCTGCAGGTTGTGAGGAATCAACTCCTATTGCAAGTACAAAAGTTAACAAACTTCATTCAGAAAATGAAATTTCTTTAAAATCTAATGATGTTGTCACCAAAGACGACACCAGGCAAGAATCTACAAGTGAACGTGGTAAAAGTGATGAAGCACTCACTAAAGATAATCATGACTGGGAGTCCAGAGAGGCTATGACTACCAATAAAAGTTCACGGAATAGGGACAACAAAGTCCGTTCAGAGAGGACGAGGCGTGAGACATCTGATACTAGTGATTCCATAATTCAAGGAGATAGAAGTAAAGTTAAAGAAAAGATGAACAGAAGAGATACATTGAACGAGAGAGCTGATGATAGAAGCTCTGAACGAGGATCTGATGTGAAAGAACAAGGTTCTAGAAGCAGTTCTAAGCATAACAGTATTAAAGATGACAGGAAGGAGATCACACAGGATAAAGAAGATAAATATAAAGAAGACTGTGAAAGGAAAAGAAACCGAGGAAGAGACGAGAAGGAGGATCGGCACTCTCGGCCTGCAAAAGATTCATCCAGGTATAGTAGTAGAAGGTCTCCATCGCCCAGCAGCAGAGGTAAAAATTTCAAAGATAATTCCTTTTCGCACGGTAGTGCATCAGGTGATGAACCTTCTGATAATTCGAAAAGGAGGTAAAGTATATTAAATTTTCGTTTAATTTTTTTATTAACCTTACAGTCATTTTATTCTTTGGTAGATTTGTCATGATTATCCTCTATATTGCAGGAAGAAGTTATCGCATGCAAGTAATTTGTCACCATCACCTACAAAATCTAGGAAAAGGTACTGCACCTATACGATGGTTATGTTCTCTGCTGAATTAGCCTAGAACAATTTGCAGAATTTCGAATCCTCTGATAATATGGCATTCCTTATAATCGACATGGTATGGATACGGATGCGGACACAGACACGGGTGTGGATACAGGATCTGACAAAATTGTAAAAGTTAGGACATGGGGACACGGCTTTATATATACATATTAAAATTAATAAGCTATATGAGATCGATATTGTTTTTCATTTACATCGTATTCACATGTTATGAGGACTAGAATCCTCGTATTATTTTTATCTATGAAGCACGGACACACATAACATGAAGCCGTGTCGTGTCGTGTCCGTGTCGGACACACGTGTCGAACACACGTATCCTATGTATTTTTTAGGATTTGCCTCGTGTCGGCGTGTCGGATGGCCGTGTCGGATCCGTGTCCGTGCTACATAGATTTTTATGTCTCTTTTATTGAGTAGATTGTAAATTGAAAAAAGCGCTCATTTTTTTAACTAGATATCCAAACGACCCATTAAAATCATATTTATGAACTAGGTAACGAACCTGTTCCCGAGTCCAACAAGTTGCATAAATTTGATATGAAGTGTACGATATATGTCCAAGAAGTGTATCACGAGTTTTTTAAACTAAAAAATGTGTTATATAATTGAGTACACGTTTGAATAAATCTATGTATATATTCAAGAAGTATCCAAGGAGTGTCCGACACGGACACGGATACGGGAAGTGTCGGACACGGATACGGGAGCCTAGATGCATTGTCTAGGTAACCTTGCTGATAATGTTTGAATTGGGTTCAATTTTCAATGTTTAAGCTGTAACTATTTCAATGGTATGCATATTGAACTACTAGCCTGCAATGTTGTGTTCTATTTGATTGAAAACCATGCGTTATGTTAATTTTTATACAATAATTACCCCCATCAATTCCTTAATGCTGTTTCTGGACATATTTTAATTTTGCGTAGAGGTCATTGTAAAGGCGGTTTGAAGCCTAGTATTGTGAATATTAATTAAGACATGATTGGTTTTTTCTAAGTTCCTTTGACCGGACCTGCTATTTCATATTCAGTGATGTAGTAAATGTGTACAAAAGAAGAGTCTTGGCATCCTAGACCCAAAGAAAAAGAAAAAAAAAATGGATGAATGAACAGAAAGGCACTCATGGTACATACTTTGTGAATACTTGCAGATTATGGTCCATATAGATGTGATAGACATAGGCAAATTACACTTTTGAGTCCATGTTGATCATGTTCCACAGACTTGAAACTTGCAAAAGATTGACAGTTACTAACCCATTAGATGTGAGAGTAGAATTGGAAGAAGATGTGGTCTTTTAGCCTGATGAAGAATAAATTCTAACATGACCATCTTGGCATGTGGGTTTAGATATTGCAGCTTAGGAACTTGGTGCTCTTATTTTTTGCTTGATATATGCTTCTGGAAATAGATACAAAGATTTGTATTAGTGTTCTGAATCCTGAAAATTTTGTATACAAGATACAGAGAGTCTCATATTAGTTTTTTGGGTTTTCTTTCCTTAGAAGTTTTGAGCTCTTTTAGTGAAGGTTGAGAAAGTGCTTTTGGCTGAGTGGATGATTTGGTCAGTTTGGGAGTTCGAGTTTAAGCTACAGAAAAAGTATCAGCCGCAGCTGTGCGGTGTAGACATGGAGAGATTTGGTTTTGGTGAAAACTACTGAGAAAGTCTCATCTGATGAAAGTTGGTCGAGGTTGAGCAACCTTTTTTAATTTTAATTGATTTATTTTTATACTATCTATCAACGAGCTTGATTTGTACCTTTAAAACCCCTGCTGATTTATTCCACAATTTTTCGGTGGTTAGTTCCTTTGCAAATTGTGGTCAATTTAGTACCCTAAGCCTGTGTTGTATATTACAATCTGAGTGGATTTCTGGGTATCTGCTTAGGGCTACAGGCTTCAGCTATGCAGCTACCTTCATTGATTTAGGTGTCCCAGGCACCAACTTATGTGTTGGTTCTAGGAGCCATGCGTCCTCCATCAGTACGTACACCCGGTTAAGCATTCTTAGAGCACTACCTCAGCATTTATAGGGTTTGGTCATGCAACCCTTGTAGTTTGAAAAGCTCATACCTCAAAATGATGCCATGGCCAATAGTGTGAGTCCCGGATGTTTGCTCATCGATGTATGAATAATTGATGATATTGCTTATGCCTATAAGATATAACTATTCATGCTTCTCACTTATCTAGCCTGTTCTTATTGTTCCACGCATCAACTTCAATACTGAAATTTGGAACAGTTTTTATAAGTTTTTTTTATTTCCATCATCTCTCTATTTTATCATAACCTATTTGTTTTTTGCATGCTATTCATTCATATGTTAACTTTCCTGTATAAATAATCGTCTCACGGACTACACTTCTCACCATGGACATCTTTTTCACTTGTCTCATGGACTTCACTTCTCGTCATGGGCATCTTTTTCACTTGTAACAGTATTTACTTTTGTGATTCTATTTTTGGGCCTCCTTGATCCAAATGGTGTTAAAATTTGGAAGGCATCACAGTCTAAATAGCAGCATTATCGGTGGTTTCCTTAAGGCACTTAAATCACCAATCCATCATTATATGTGATACTAATGGCTTGAAAGACAGATAATGGCTTGGAAGAAAAATGCCAAGTTTCTCAGAGACATGTGATACGTTCAGCTGTTTACTCCGGTGTTTAGTGTCGCTCTCTTTAACCTTTACTTGTTTCAGCTGAAACATGGCAATATTTGAAGCAAAATATTATTAATTGGTTCTTTGTCTCTGTTTTAGGAGACCTTACATTTGCTATATTTCTGAAAATAGACTCTTTATCATGTTTCCAACTTCTTGGAGTAGTAAGGTCATAGCATCTTTTCATCTGAATGCACAAGCGTAGACCTATGATTCTATATCAAGTGGTTTGCTTCCACGTCCATTAGTCTTATAGTGACAGAAGTCTGCAGATAATGAACAGAGTGAACATTTCGGGATCAGGAATTTATTATCCATGCTATGCCTCTTACTTACCCTATCAGTGTGATCTTGTTTTTTTATGTCTAGACGAGTTTCGAGGTCTCCACATAGCAAGCATTCTCACCGCAGGCATTCCCCTTATTCCTCTACTGAGAGAAGGTAAGAGAGTAACCAGCCTTCAAAGATTTGGGTTTTACTGGTAGCAGTCCCTTAAATCTTTCATATTTTGAAATTAGTCCCTCAAATCATTGAAGAGCTGCTATTAGGTTCTCCAATTCTTAAGTATTTTGAAAGTAGTTGCAAATCATTGAAATTGCTATTAGGTCTTCGAACTTTGTCAATTCTTGTTTTAAAATTAGTCCCTCCTAATAGCAATTTCAATGATTAGAGGGGACTAATCTCAACATGTGAAAGATTTGAAGGACTTATATCGAAAAAAAACCTAAAGATTTATGAGCAACATTGCAGGTGATGAATGAGATGGGCATTCATGAGCCCCTCCAGTTATTAAGCTTAGGGCTTTTGTTTTAGCTGTGTGATTCACATGTATGCTATTTTACAGGCGCAGGTCGAGGTCAATCTCTCCTAGCCACAAGAGGTCTTCTGCACATAAACGGGGCTCATGAGTCATCTAGTTCTCAGTCCTTTTCTCTGATGAACTGCTGCGTTCTTCGAGGAGTGCTATCTTCATGGTTATTTTATTGCTGGTCTTAAAAGATTGTACTGTATAATGACTTCATGAAGATTTGAGAAAGAGGGAATTTAAAGCTGATCTACTGCATGCAACTCAAGTTGGCAGGTCTGAAGATGTCGGGTTGATAGAAAGTTCATTATGATAGTTATATACAGGGAGGCTCTGTTTGTCATTTTTGCACTTGATATGATCCAGCGTAATGTGGTTATTGATGTCCTATGAAAGAATTGAATAGTTCAGATTTAGGCTTTGTGTTTGTTATAAGTGATGTATATGCTTAGCTGAATTTTGGAGGTTACTCCTAATGTAATGCGGCTAACGTACTTATTTAAGCAATGTGCATCTCAATTCTGATGTCTATATCACCGAGAACAGCTTTGGTAATGATTTAGTTAAGATTCTGGGAGCTCCAGAAATGAAATTTGTTTGTTCTGCTTTCAACTGGGACTGCAATCTTGATTTATTGAAATTAGTTGTAAGTTGCTTATAATGAGGTTCGACCGAAAGTTTGATGTTTTTACCAAATTTGAATCGAAGTGACACGTTACTCTTTTTATTTTTTATTTTTTTACTGTATCTATTGTTTTAGAAGGTTTATTCAAGTGTTTCTGCTTCTTTATTGAGTTGTTACTAGTTCATATATAGTCATAGATGGATTATAAGATTAATTAATGCCAACTATCTCTAAAATTGTCTTGGCGGTTAGCAATCATGAAAAATAAAACCATTGTGGTGGTTATTGACTTACGAAGATGATTAGCTAGCGAAGTTTATTTACTAGAGTATCAATAGACCAACCATTATGTAGTGAGTAACGATAAGATATATCAATGAAAATTATTTAAAATACCTAATAAAATGCTCTCAACTATCAGTTGCTCTTCTTTTACGTTGATAGGGACAATGAGAAAGTATCCCATGAAGACAGCTCATGATATTAAATATGTAGCTCATGATATTAAATATGTATCTAAAGGATGTCAATTATTAAATTTATGCATGAATCTTAAAATTTAATGAACCAAAATATTTGGATGCGTGGTGCACTAATTAATACCTTTTCTAGGGACAACACATTGTAATTGTAAGAAATGGAAATGAGGACACTCACAAGATGATGATATAGAACATGTTCGGCTACTACTAATCTTCTGTTTCTTTGTAAGTTCCTTAGAACATCTCCAACAGCTTCTCTAAAATTTTCTCTAAAATGGGGAAGCAAAAGTCATATTCTTTAAATTATTTTTACACCAATTCCAACAGCTTTCCTATTTTGAAGAATCCCTTTTTTCCTCCAAAAATTTGGAGAATGCTGCAGATTTGGGGAAGCTTCCCCATTTTTTCTCCTCCATCCTTATTTTGGGGAATGAGATGGAGTTGGACCAAAAACCTAACTATATTCTCCAAAAGTGAGAAATGGGGAAGCTGTTGGAGATGCTCTTATTACTTATTGTCAAAACACCTTATAGGGATATAAAATAAATAAATAAGTCAAGTGTTTGAAAAACCCTTTACTTATAAAGATATGTGCATACTTATTTGTTTGGTAAAACAATAACTTATAAGGATGTGATAGTTGTCAAATGACCAAAAAGGGCATCCCGTTAAATCTCATATTTGACTAATTAATTACTTATATATTAATCAAATAATATTTATTAATAATTTTTAATTAATACACAAAGTAAATAATAAAAAATATTGATTTCACATAATTATGATAATTAATTACTAATATTAGGACAAATTAATTAATTTATATTAATAAAAAGTATTCTAAGAAAAATTATTAATTAATTATTTTAAAATTAATTATTTCATAATATTAAATATATCTTAATGAAATATTTTTACATATTACACTAATTTTGGTTATTAATTACTAATACTGATATTAAATAGTTAATTTCATATTATAAATTAAGAATTATGAATAGTTTATTTATTAAGTAAAAATTGTTTAATATGAATAATTTTATTCTTATGAAAATTATAATTATTAAATAAATAATAAATATTAATTAATTAATTATTACGAATAATTTTAATTAATTAAATAACAATTGCTAACAAATATTTATTCATTAACTAGTTAATTAATAAAAATAATTATTTATTAAAAATAAAATAATTAATTAAGTAGTAATTATTAATAACTTTGTCTATTTTAAACTAATTAATTAATAAGAATAGTGTTTTATTCCTAAAAATAAATAATATAAATATTTAATTAAGTAATAACTATTAATAAATTTATTTATTACTTAAAATTTTAATTAATAAAGATAAATATTCATTATAAAAATAAAAATATAAATAATTAGTAGAATAGTAATTATTAACAAATTTAGTTGTTAGTTAACTAACAATTAATAATAATAATTACATATTCTTGAAAATAAAAAATAACTAATTAAGTGAGCTGTAATTATCAATACGTTATTTAGTATGTAACTAATTAATTATAATAATTGTTATTTTATAATAATAAAATATTTATTTAAAATATATATTTTTATATTATATCATTTGTGACTAATATTAATAAGGAGGTATGAAGACTATTATGGTCTTTTGATGTATACAAGTAAAACTACTTATAAGTAGCCAAAAAATAAGTTAGGATTTCCCAACTTAATTATTTTTTGGCTACCTTTAAGTTAAAAATAAGTAGATAAGTAAACAATCACTAAACATAACTTATAAGCAAAAAGATGTTTATAAATAAAACAAATAACTTATAAGTATGTTGCCAAACATGCTCATAAATGGATCAAGAAAAATAACTTTTTTAAGAACATCAAGCAAATAGTTTGTGAAGCAAGCTTCATGTAGATTAGCACAAGAATCATATGGACTTAAAAGGGGGAAAAGGAAGAAGGAGAACACATAAATATTCATAAAATATATCCAAAAGCTGACGTGCTAAAACACCAAAATATCTACTTTAGAGATGAGGATGTTGGATGAAGAGGACATAAAGAAAAATCCTCATCACATCATATCAATTATTTTAGCAAATATAAATAATGCTTTTTTCACATAGAGTTAGATATCTTTTTTTCCTTAAGGGAACTGAAACGATTCTATTAAGGGTAGGGGTGCATTCGGTCCGGATACAGTTCGGATATGATGCCTATCATATCCATATCCGTTTACTCATCTCGGATACGGTTACGGATACAGATATACTTCGGTAAGGAAAATTCATATCCATATCCGCTAAAATCTGATACGGTTACAGATATACATGCTGATATATAAGCGGATATGTATGCAGATACAAAACGGATATGGGAAAGCTAGATAGTATTGAGAAAAACATAGTTCATGTGATACAAAAGAGTTCGTTTATATGTTCATTATAACATAGTTCATGTGATACAAAAGAGTTCGTTTATATGTTCATTATATCTGAAAAGTTAAGATTAGACATATTGATCATCAAAATTAACAACAAATCCGACATATTGATCATCAAAATTAACAACAAATCCATAATCTAAGAATCGAAACTATCGTAAGAGTATGACTGATATGTATTCAGATATTTCGGATACGAATACAAATATTTCACTATAAAAGCATATCCGTAACCATATCCTATCGGTTATAGATTTGAGTAACCATTTCCGTATCCTAACGGATACGGTTACAAATATTTCCTCGGATACGAAGACAGTTTAGCACCCCTAATTAAGGGGCATCAAGAATGACCTGGTTACAGATATACGGAGGACCTTGAAGAGAGTCCGAGAAAAATATACATCTATATCTGCAAACAAAAGAAACTAAATCATGTGCACAAATGTTCTCTGCATATCGAACATGCAAGACGGAGGAAAAGTTGAACTCTTTGAAGAGAGGTTGACAATCTATGGAGATAGTTATAAATGTGCTCTTTCATAGAGAGATAGATATCAGCTGGCTATTATGTTCTAGAGTGCACCCGCTTCAAAAAACTTTGTACATAAATGCACTTAAATATTTTCACTCAAAAATATAGGAATCCGCCCAAGAGAAATGACCCTCTTCTAGATTACTAAGCTACTAGTTATTAGTTCAATCTGATGACAAGAGCTGTTGTTTCTATAGCAACATAAATTATTTGACTCCGGATTGATTTAGGAAACTGAGAATTGACTGACATTAAAAAAAAAAGGTTTTCATAAGCGCTACCATCAATCTATTATTTCTAATTTAAAGCAAAACCTAAAAATTCATTGTTCATGCTATATTAAAACTATTTATGCTACAGTTTGATACAAAAATTTTAAATTTGCTATTTGTGATATAGTACTATTGTCAGCCATAGATCTACTGTTTGAATTGCACTTAAAATTCTTGTCTGAAACACTGTTGATGTTACAGTAAAAGTTTTGCCCCTTTATTCACTGTTCAAGCTAAATTAAATTTTTTGAACTTGGAAAACATCAATCATATTTTCTTTTCTTGTTCTTTTAGATGATGATTTTAATCCTTATCAGCTATTTCACAAATATAAATCTTTTCTGGCTCTATTATAAAAAATTAATTACTTGCTAATTGATATATTATTTAGTTAACTAATTTAGAGATTTATTCTGTAAAAAGTACTTAAAGGGACAGATGAATATTAATTATCTTTTCTTTTTTCCATAATATCTATTAATAATGTGAAGTTTATCATGTCTTATTAAAGCAAAGCAAAGCAATAAATTATGCGATGTTTTATAGATTTAAAAATCAAACTATGGTTTTCATTTTAAAATAGATTTTTTATATTTTGCCCCTCAAATAATTGAAATTGCTATCGGCCTCAATTCTTAAAGTTTTCTAAAACTAGTCTCTCGTTTCTTAAAGTTGTCTTAAAATTTGTTCCTCAGATCATTGAAATTGCTACGGGGCCCCTCAATGCATATAAGTAAATTAAACTAATATGCCTGATCAAGAATAGCTATAACAATACCAAGATATAAGAGTTGTTATTGCTACTGCTACCCTCATATCTCGCCACAACTATTACTACTCTTTCTTTCGAGAGATTAATTTGAAATTACTCATAAGAACTTAAAGGATTTAATTATAATTTTAAGGGAAAATTGTGTCAAGACCGCAAATTACAACTTTCAATGTGTCCCAGCTCCTCATATTTTTTTTAATGTACTACAGCCCCTTCTTTTTGAAAAATTTGTGTCCATGCCCCTCCATCATGATTCCAGCTCATGCCAGCGGATGATTAGACATTATGCCAGTTCATGATTAGATATCCCAGCTGGCTTAAATCCTAAATTTATCCTCCTCTTTCTCATGCCAGCGGATGCTAACTATTATAGTTAACATGTTAACTCTTACAATTAACATGTTAACTATTAGTATTT